CAAATGATCTTAGGAAGTGCCCTACTATTTAAGTTGTGACTTTACTAATAAATTTTAATTTAATTATTTTTAATTTTTCAATTTTTATAAAATATTAATGGGTTAAAATTATCATCATAGTTAAAGTATAAGCTATAATGATACATAATATATGTATATATGTGTTGGCATATGTTAATACATATGTAGGTATAGATTATAGTGACAAATCATATATGGTGACTTATGTTAATACATTTATTCCTACAATTATTACAAAGTGTAGATATAGATTATAGTGACACTCAATATATGTGGTTAAATTCCATTTAAATAACGAAGAAATTTGGCACAAAGTATTGAACCTAAGATAGAATCATTTTGGCATCAACAAAAACAATCCTTAACCCTACTTTACTTACCTCACAACCAAGTTAGATTAGTCTAAGGCAAAGCTTTAAGACACTAGTGTGAAATATAAAAAAAAAAATCCCATTCAAAATTTGCATTTAAATTATGTGTGAGTATATGTCAAGAGTTTTACCTACATATATTATTTCTAACAACACTTTTTGTATGTCATTATAAGTAACATTTCTTTTATTTGGACTTTCATGTCATCTAGGTATGTTGTATTCTTTATATTATAAGGCCATTAGAACTCGTGGTTGCATTTCATGATTCCTAGAAATCCTTGAGATACTTTTTTGCTCAATTTTTGTTAATTAAGTAGATAGTTGCTAAAAATTATAAATCCTTAAGATACTTTCTCTTTTTGCAAGTGAATTGGATAAATAAAAGGAATTCCTTAAGCTCTTTCATTTGTCCTCTGGCAATTAGGAACCATATTTACTCTTTCTATTAGTATATTTGCGTTTTTTTATTCTAGAATTTTCAAGTTTAAAGTTGTAGGCAACTTATGCTCCACATATCAAGAAAGATCAAAACTTAACCATTTAATTTTCCACACTTTAATTTCACACTTTTCTTAACTAGTACACTGGCATGTAATATTTTATACATACTTTTTAGGATATAAGGAAAGCAATATGTGAGATGCTTTGCTCATGTGACAGATGTTAGCAAAGAAAATCATGAGAGTTCTTTAAGAAACTATTTTGAATATGTAAATTAAATATTTCCTTAATTTTTTTGTATAGTAAGATAAAATTTAAGTTTGTGATCGATGGTTAGTCATAAATTTGAAGATTATTATTATTATTATTACTATTATTATTATTATTATTATTATTATTATTATCTTTGGTATATTTATTATTTTGATAGAATTGTAGATTTAGTATTGTTAAGAACTATCATGTAATATGTTGATATATGTGTTGATTAATTTATAGTATTGATGGATGTGTGGCTTTGACATATTAATCTTTTTCATTATAAGTTGGGTATAAATAAAAATTAGAAGAAAGAATTTTAAAAAAAAAATACATACTACATCAGTTCATTCATAAATTTATGTAGAAAGTGTTCAACATATCATATCAATTTGTACGAGAATCGATGTTATTTTGTGCACTTTTGCATCAATTTTGGATCCGATGTAAAATGTCTAATACATTGTATGTCACTTGAATCTACATTGCTTATAGAACTAATGTAGATTGTCCAAACAAACTGATGTAGAATATCCCTCTTGTTAGTGTTCTTCACAAATTTATGAGAGATATCTCTGTCACAAGTTTATGAGGGATTAGCCTTCATCACAAATTTGTGAGGGACTTACCTCTGTCACAATTTGTAAAAGGACATGTATCTGTCACAATTAGTGAGAGATATTATTTTCTTCCCTAACTATAATGAAATAACGAATAGTGAGAAAATCACTCTATAGAGTCTATTATTCACTTGTCAAATTAATAAAAAAAAACATTTATTATTCTACTATTAAATTAATTAATATAATATCATTTTTTCCAAGCAATAATTTATATAAAATAAGCATTTAAATAACACCAAAAGTTTCTAAATAGCTATTTCAAGTTTCATAAGTTCTAAATAAAATATATCATTGATAATAAGCATAATTATTAATGATAAGAGAAGAGCAATTTATTATAAATTTTTAAACATTTACATTGTCATCTTCTTGCTAAGTATTTTGATCATCTATAGGAGGTTGTGGAAAATGTTTGACTGGTTGAGAAACTTGACCCAAAGAAAAACTCTCCATAAATTGTGTCAAATTCTCATGATCCAAACGTATTCTTTTTGTGAAGCACGAATCATCTCTAAATGAGTTTGTAATTGTTCCTTTAAATAGACTGGGAACTAGACTCATCATTACCTCATATTCAGCTGTTGAGATGTCATCAGGTGATTTGGGAGAGGAAGAAAGTTTATTCTTTCTAGCCTTTGAACCTAGACCAAATATTCTTCCTTTTTGTTTAAACCTCCAACAACATCATAAAAGATACTATTGTGAGACTAGGCACCAAATGCATCACCCCCTAATACTTGTTGTGACTCCTTCTTTTGCAAAATAAAAAAATTGAATTAAATTAATTGTGTTATGCCACTAAATTATCGTTCTCAAAACAATGAATAATATGTTCACATCTCAAAATCAATATAGAGGGAAACCAAGTTTAAAACAAGAAAATAAAATATCAACACAAATTATTTGTAGATTATCTTCACAAGATATATTAAGTAGCTAAATTATAAAAACATTTACACCAAAAATATATCTAAACCTTTCTTATTATTATAATAGGCTTCATTTATTGGACAATATGATAAATTGGTTGACCTAACTAACGATAAAGGCAATGTGAGTGACAAGTCATAGTAAGGCTCATTGGTGCTTAGTTAATGACAAAATGGAGAAGATGGTTACATAAAGTTCATTATGTCAACATCTTCGGTCACTTTATCTATATTATTATTAATGATTAGGTTCAAAGATTTTTTTTGCCCTATAACATGAGAGACTTTACCAATGAGAGTTTATTAGCATATACATGTTGTTATTAAGGTTTCAACTCGACATATGATATTTACACTCTTATGTCATCATTTCTTGAGTTTTGAAATAGGAAAAGGTACTTAGTGGTAGATATTGAAGAAGCTAATGGGCATGTAGGGATATATGGATCTTTGGAAATAATGGAGGATAGGAATGGAAAGTGAGAGAAGGGTTTGGCTCTCCCTAGCCCCCATCCTTGCAAAAGAAAAAGGGCGACTTCAGGATCAAATTTAAAAGAAGTGAGTTTAAAACTTTTAAACCTAACCCATCTTTGTTAGATTTTATTGCGTTTAGGAAAACCTGTGAAAAACTTGTCACACATTTTTAAAATTTTAAGTTTCTTTAAATAAATCACATATTAAGTTCTTAATTATATTTTAATTTAAAAATATGTAAAAATTAATAGTTAACAAAAAACTTAAAAATGAAAAACAGGAATTAAACTATATTTTTAGTAAATTATTTTTAGATCAGAAAGCTAATATCATTTCATTGATGATGAGAGATTGAGTAAAAGTTGGAATGAAAAAACTTAGCACAAAATTGTGATGTCCTTGCAAGACAATCAACAATATGATTAGCTTATATCTTCAAATAAAATGAACCATATATAACATTTTCTGAATGAAGAAGGTATAGCTAGCCAGAATGGTGCCAAATTCAAAATTATCTTGTTTCATGTTGTCAATGGCATCAATCATGTCTATACACTATCTCAACAATGATATTTTGCAAGCTGAGTTCATGGATTCTCATAAGAGCATGAAAGTGTGCCATTGCCTCGTCTTCAGCAGCAAGTGGAAGCCTCTTTGAGATGAAGGTTTTGCTGATACAAATGCTCCTGATTCATCTCTAATACAAATAAATGATGGCTTGATCCAATGAGTAGGAGTATTGCTATCTTAAGTAAATGATAGAAAAGGGTAGGTGTTTTTTGCGAGCTTGTTTCCATGAGAAGACAAATTATTTTGCAAGTTGGATAGATATAAGTGAAGGTTTTGTAATAATATTGTCCCAAACTTTTTCATTTCTCGTGCGTTAAAAGGGTCAAACATTGTTGAGATATCCGATTTTTGTGACAGAAAGATGTTGCGGCAATTTAAACTTAAGATCAGCGAAGTCTTCTACTGAATCAATGAAAGGAGCCAAAGATTTCCAAAATCTACCGAATTGCCATATCTAATTTGCATGATTACATCCAATAAAAATATGCCAATAATTTTCTATATTGTTTTCAGTGTGGACAAATTCCAGAACAAGTTATCTTCTAGATATCAATCTTTCACATGTAACACGAGCCATCCTCTAAAAAAAATTGATTTTTTTTTTTGTTTAGTTTCAATTCCCGTATAGTCCTTCAATTTCCTTGAGCTCGAAGAGATACACTATCAATTACTTGCTCTATAATGAGAGGATGATAAACAGACTTTTACAACCCATCCTTGCATGTGATAAACTTTATTCACGAAAATGTCATTTGAAACTACGCTCTTTTTATTAAATCTTGCTCAAACATTTTATAATAAGAATTTCAGAATAAATTATTACATTTAAAATGAACTTTGATACCATCTTAAAATTTGGATTTAAAACCTAATAATCCTACAAAATTGATTTTATAAGGTGAGATTTGTCTAAATTTTATATTTATTGTCGATGTGAGACTAAACATTACCTTTGAAACCACAATTATGGCAAGTAAGACTACAACTAAGTGAAATTATATGTGTCTACAATTGAAATTCTTCGACAGTTAAAATTATTTAATACAAATAAGATTAAGCATTAAAATTTACCAAATTAACTAAATTCATATGATTATATAGTGTTTTTACATTTAATAAATTATCTTTTTTAAATATTGGTCGATTTGCATGTATCATTAACTAATTTCACTAGAAATAATTATATTCAAGCTGGAAACAGTTACATGTCTGGAACTCGAACTCAAAATCACTTATTAAGTTAGAACAATTCCTTAACAACCATTTTTCCTAGTTTTTATTAAAGAGTACAACTGTGCAATAGGATGATATTCTATTAAATGAAAAGAAGACACATTATTTATCATTGTAATTTTCCCAGTTCTTGACAAAGAACCAAAAAAAAACAAATCGAAAAGGAAAAACTATTTTAGTAGATCAAAATTGGAATTGGACCTAGTGGAATACTCTGCAACAAGCTGAGCAAAAGAAGATAACTTGTCCTCTAGCAACTTTGTTGGAGAATCATACTCCTCAATAAGTCCTGCATCAATGTCCAATAAAATCATATATAAAGGTACATTAAATTAAAGATTATTATGTTCAAAGAAGAATGTAATATAACAGCCTTTTCAATTCTCACCTTGATTAAGTAGTAGAACCATATCACTATAAATGACTGAATTTATTCTATGTGCAATGGTAATGACTGTGCAATCACAGAAATGTTGCCTAAGAGTTAGCTGGATCAAATTATCTGTAGCTGTGTCAACAGATGCAGTAGCTTCATCTAGCACCAGGACCTTACTCTTCTTAAGCAACACCCTGCCAAGGCAGACCAATTGCCTTTGCCCCATACTCCAATTCTCTCCATTCTCACAAACTGCAGCATCCATTTTAGCAATAGATTCATTCCAAAATCAATGTAATATATATATTATATTTATGGTTCAATTACCTTTTTTAATCTCTATAATTTCATATATTTTACCTTTTTAATACCTATACTTAAAGCATTTCATTTGAGTTCCTATAGATAGTGTTTTTTTTCTTTTTAATCATTGATGTCTATTTTTATAGGACCTAATTAAAAAAAAAGAAAAGAATTGTATATATAGAAACTAAAATAAAATAGTTTTAATAATAAAAGTTAAAAGATAAAGTTCATGAAACTATAAAAATCAAAAAATACTTGAACCTAAATTTAATTTTTCGTGTACTATTAGTGTATTGATATTTACACTAACCAATTAGAAATCACCCTAGATTTGAATTTAAAAGTAGTTATCACTTATCACAAAAAAAATAAATAAATAAATAACAACCTTATGATAGTTTTATGATTAGATGGTAGTATAAAGAAACTTTACACTGTCAAGGTATTTAAATTAAATTTGTATATATTTATGCTCAAAAAACTTAAAAGACAAACCTGCAGAGTCTAGTTTTCCTTCTTTCCTTCTAACTTCCTCTCCAAGTTGACACTTATCAAGTGCCTACATAGAAGAGTCCAATGAATTAGGGAACTTATAATTTGAGGAACAACCAAAAGTCAAACATTTTGGATAGAACCTAGTCTGCCTTTGTGTAGTAAATAAAGCCAACCCACCTCCCAAATTTGTTCATCTGTGTACTCTTCAAGTGGGTCCAGATTGCTTCTCACAGTACCCTCAAACATGGTTGGATCCTGAGGAATAATGCTCAGTCTTGACCTCAAATCATAAAGTCCAATGGAAGAGATGTTGATGCCATCTATCATAATTCTCCCAACAGTAGGCTCAATAATTCGGAAAATTGTTTGTATGAGAGTTGATTTACCACTTCCTGTTCTCCCAACAATTCCAGTTTTAAGTCCTCCTTGAAATGTGCATGTAAGGCCATGCAACACAAATGGCATATGTGGACCATAACGTACCTTCATCAAATGCATAGCATTATTACAAAAATAACACAAATATCAAGCACTAGACAATGTGCCTATGCCATGACTCCATGACAAAACTTGCATACAAGGCACAACTTTTTTCTGTTCAAAAGCTAAATTCAAACCATAAAGGACAAAACACCTTAGCTCAAGTTTTGTAAATCAACATGAAAATCATAAGATAATTGTTAGATTTCATCTTAAAACCAATTATCATTAAGTGAAGTTGTCCAATAAATATATCAGCTACACCCACAAAAATTGAGACCGGGGACATGGGACCTTCCAACATCCCCCTCCATAGATGCCTGCCAAAACAGGCGAGCTTACTATAATAGGCAGTTTACCGAGATGTGCTATCAGCTCTAATATCATATTATATTTTATTTTAAAATTGATTGGCATCAAGTGAAGTTATCCAATAGATATATAAGTTACTTCCAAGAATTGAAGCAGGTTATGTGGGCCCTCCCAACAATAATAAAGTGCAAACATAATAAGAACTTCAATTACCTTCAAGTTATGAATATCAATCCTTCCATATGATGGCCAAGAATGATGTGGCTGGTTTTTTTCTAAAACAAGAGGAGGCTCACTAGGAATGGAAGTATACTGAATTATTCTTTCTACTGATATAATTTTGGTCTCCAAGTTGCAAAGTTCCCATATCATCCATGATTGTATAATGTTCAGATTAAGGCCATAGGTTACAGCTAAACCAGCAACACCTTCAAAAACAAAGAGAAGATTGGGGGGATTGTGTTTTAATGCTCCATTATGAGCTTTTTTGGATGCAAGCTTAAAAAAACTTTTGAGATTTTTACTGAAAATAAACAACTTTTTTTCAGTAGAGAAGCTCTAAAAATAACTATTACTTTGTATCCAAACAAACTCAATATAAAAAAACATACTGAGTTTTGGACTGGCAAACAAGATATCGGGTTGGAGTTTGTACCTGAATTTAGGAATCCTTGTGGAATAGATACCAATAATATCAAGCAAAAGGAAAATGTGATAGAAGACAACATATCTAATCGGAAGCACAACCATTCCATTGCACCAGCATTGTTGAACTTGGGGCGAGAATATCCATCCACCAGTTTCATATTTGTTTGCTGAAATCTTGGCACCTGATCAAAGCTCCTGATGGTTGATGCACCTGATATTGTTTCAGCAAAGTGTTGAATGATAGGAGCTTTGCATACCCCAGCTAAACGTGATAGTTCCCGGGCTGATGGTAAATAATATTGCTGCAACAGTGTTTGTAAGATGTCAACTCATACATTGGGTATGTTTAGAAACTTCTCTAAAAGTATTGTTTAAAAAAAAATAGGAAAAAAATTGAAATAAGTTCCTCCATAAGTTAAAACTAGTTTATACTTGTGTTAAAATTTTTTTGAAGAAGTTAATAGGAGAGAACTTCTACAAATTATCTTATGCATAAGCTAATTTTAGTTTATGGAGAAGCTTATTTCATTTTTTCTTCCTATTTTTCTCTCCCATAAATGTTTGTGGAAGGGTTTACCCAAACAGACAATACATGGTGCCAAATAAAATTTGGCAAATAGTCTAGGCACACTTTAATATCTTGTAATCAAAGACAGCAAGGTGGAAAATAAAATACCTGATACCAGATGCCGATTGCTGTAATAGGAATAAAGACAGTGAAAACCTGCCATGCAACTTGAGACATAACCATTATAATTCCAAGAAGATGGATCACAGAGAAAGCAAATGCTCCAATTTGAAAAGGAATGTCTACATCCACTGCACTTTGGTCAGTAGAAGCCTGCAAGGGAACAAAGAAATGAAAGTTCAAAAAAAAAAAATATTACTATATACATTGAAAAGTGAAAATAAGTAACAAAATGGATGCTAACCAAAAAGATATTTAAGATTCAAATACCCTTCTGAAATCAAAACAAAAGAAATGGATAGTGTGATATTCATAGTTTCACATACCCTATTAAGGATTCTCCCACTTGGGGTGGCATCAAAAAATGACATTGGAGCACGGAAGATGCAGAAATGCATGTTTTTGAAGAGTAAAGTAGCTGTCTTGTAACCAGCTGTGGCAACAAGTGTTGCTCTTGCAAGGACACAAACAGAACTTCCTATGGCCAAAGCTAAATACACAACTATAAGCATACTTCCTGTAACAGGTGGCTCAGAATCTTTTGAGATAGGAGTTGCCCAAGCCATCCAATAGTTGCTTCCAATTTGAAGAAGTTGAAACAAAATTTCAGCCAACAATATGAGTGGTATAAGTACTCCTCCATACGCTGCTGTGATATATTTCCAATAGACTGAAAACCCAACTTTACCTTTCTCCCTTTCTTCTTCTTGAACAAGTTGGCCTTTTGGATCACATTTATCATCTTTTCCATCATTTTGCACATCTTTGCTTTCTATTTCTTCAACACCATGAGAAAGAGAGACACGTACATCATTCTGTGTTATACTTATTTTATCAGATGCTGTCCCTCCATCTAACGAATCAATTGCAGACAAAGCTTCTTTATGAGCACCAACAAGTTCCATAAAATCAGTACCTGAGTTGAGAAGATCATTATATTTTCCACATTGAGTAATCTTCCCATCTTTCATGACCTATCAACAAGTTATAATTTGATAAGAATGGTATTGTTCAAAGTAACTAGCAGAGGCAAAAATGATGAGCTGAAACGTGTGTTTTTTACTACACCATGGGACAGGTTTATATTTATGTGTGTGTGTGTGTCTGCGCTCAATTCATTCAATACACATGATTAGGAAATATTTTGTTACCCCAAAATAGGATATCATGCATACTTACTAAATGTCAAGATATTATTCACAACAGGTATGAAGAAAACAAGCAAACTCTGTTTTGAATTAATGAGAATACAACTCTGAGAATTGCTCACCAAGATAAGGTCAGCAGCAGGTAAGAACTCTACTTGATGAGTGACATAAACCACTGTTTTTGAACTTAGAAGGCCCAGTAAGCATTCCTGTCATATACATAAAATGAAAAAGCTCATTTACTGAAATACTGATACAATGTTCGTGCTATCAGAAGAACCACATTTGGCAAATGTTTAAGTTGGTAGTTTCTAATACATATAAAGAAATATAGTAGAGTAATAGACTAATAGCACTCTCTATAGTCTATATCGCAAATTATAAGAAGCAGCAGATAATGAGTTACCTTAAAAAGGTGAGATCCTGTATGAGCATCCACAGCACTAAACACATCATCAAATAGATATATATCAGCATCTTGATATAGAGCACGAGCAATTTGTATTCTTTGTTTCTGTCCACCACTCAAATTTATACCCCTCTCTCCTATAATAGTTTGATCTCCAAATGACAAGATATCTAGATCCTTCTTTAGGCAACAAGCTTCAAGGACCTTCTCATACCTTTCCCTTTCCATATCCTTTCCAAACAATATATTATCCTCAATCTTGCTACCTTGTATCCATGGTGACTGAGCTACATAGGCCTTTCTTCCACACACCTTCAGGATCCCTGATTTCTTTGGTACTTCCCCCAATATACAAGAAAGTAAAGTAGACTTGCCTGACCCAACAGTGCCACAAACAGCAACCCTCATGCCATGAAAAACTCTGAGATTTATATTTTGCAATGTTGTTCTTGGGGAAGCTAAATCCCAAGAAAAATTTCCATCAACTACTTCAATTGCTACATTAGAACTACCTGGTGGAAGCTTCTCCACAATATCAGATTGCATCTCATCCAGACGAAGGAAAGATGCAATCCTGTCAAGAGAAACCTTAGTTTGTGCCATCATTGAAATTGTGTCTGGAAGATTATAAATGGGTTCTTGGAGAATCTGGAATGTTGCAAGTGCAGATAAGATCTTCCCTGACTCGAGGGGGATCCCTATAAGCAAACAAGTACCAAACGTAACCACTGACACAAATGCTGGGGCACACCAGAACACAAATATGGTCACGGCTATAGTGTATATAAATTTTTTTAACCAACCTTGCTCAATCTTTCTGAGTTCAGTTATCTTAGACAAAAACTTCATTTCCCATCCTTGCAGCTTGAGAATCCTCATATTCCTTAAAATCTCAGATGTTGCTTTCATTCTCGCATCTTTTGACTCCATCAACTTGTTCTGAAACTTCTCTTGGGTTGAACCCAAGGGAATGTTTGCCCACATTACAATGAAAATTGCAACAAAGCCAGCAATTGAAGCAAGGCCAAGGTTTCTATACAAAATCAACAAGGCTACAAAAACCTGTAGGACTACTAACCACAAATCATGTAGGTGCCAACTGAACTCACCAACTCTTTCTGCATCAACACTCATGAAGTTTATTATTTCTCCAGTAGTGTGGCCTTGCTTGGATTGGAATGAAAGATTCAAAGCTTTATCATATATGATTGCCACAAGCAGTGCTCGAATTCGTATTCCAACTTGCTGCAACCTAAAGAACCATTGCCTATGCGCCAGGCACTCCACAAGCTTTGCCACAGAAAATGCAAACACCAAAACAAGGCCTTCATTTTCAAATTTTTGTTTTCCATTAAGGTATTGAACAAAACCATCAATAAGATAGGGACCAACAAAAGAAGCCAGGGTATTTATCAATGCAAGGATAGCTGTGAAAATTATCTCTTTCCAGGCTGAGAATGCTAATGACTTCACTAACTTAAGTGTGGTCACTGTGTTACTTCCTCCACAACATGCATCAAGCTTATCCCTAAAAGTTGGAAAAGCTCCAATTAAACTGTCTCTTTTGTCAAGTTGAGGAACATCCTCAAGGTCCAAAGTCTTCTTCTTTCCAACAGCAATCAAAGGACCAACCCAAGAAAAGGTAAGAAGGCAAAAAATTCCAGCATTAGAGTAAGGGGTAACAGTGTCACTCCCCTTGATCTCTTTTGTCCCTAACATATCACTCTCTTTTGAACCACCATTCAAAAGAGATTCTTGAAGAGTACTATCTCCCACTCCACCCTCATTTTTCACAAAATTTCCCAAGTAACAGAAGAACAAACCCACACAAACAGAGAAAACATTAGAAACCAAGCACTGAATAGGCACAGCAGCATGCTTTTCATAGAGAACAATGTCCACTGTAAAGCAATAACCGGAAACAGAGAGATAGAACACACACCAAGCTCTAAAGAAGAATGAAAATATTCTTTCCCTTGAAATGAAGAATGCCCTTTGCAAGCAAACACCACTGACACCCCAAGCAACCGTTTTGAGCACCAAATCCAAAAGGGTCACAAGCTTCTCTTCTGACCAACCATTTCTAAACCAAGAAAAGTAACCAAACAAAAAGAGTAGAAGATTGAAAGCAGAAACAACCAGAAAGCAAAGCCTAGTCCTTGAAAACAAGGTATTATTAATTTTCTCTCTGGAACATTCTTTGGCTCCAACTGTGACTTTCTTCCACACCAGTGACACTGAAAGCACTACTAGCAACACTAGATGAAGGAAACAAGATAAGCCATGCATGAAAACCGGCTTCACCAAAAATGTCAGTAAACTACTTTCAAAGTGTCTAAGAGAATGGAGTGATGCGACAAACGACATGATATACTTGAACAGTTGAGCTTTGAATGAATAACAAGGAATTTGAGTTTGTTGTGGAACCTTACACTATGAGATGAGTGGTATCAGAATGAAAATGAAGTTATGGTCAAAGAAAGAAAACAAAACATGGAAGGGACGTAAGGCAAGACTGAAGAGGTTGAGGAAAGTGCAAGAAAATGGAGGCTATGTTTTCCAGGTAAATAAAGTGGGAAAGAAAAAACTGGTTAGATCATGGCAGTGGAAATGAATGCATAACATGTCACTGTACATGAGAGGTGGAGAGAAGGTGATACTAGTATATAATTGGTATGTACCCACCAACAAGTCTTAATTCAGTTGCTGTATAGAATAATATTGGCATGTGCCCAACAGGGTATTTAAAACTTCTCACGTCTTAATTAATTACAGTTGCTATATAGACTATAATAAAAATATAGAGAAGTGCGGACATCGTGTTCTTTGTTTTTAATCATGCACTCCTTCGTGTGTTCATCAATTTTTTTTAATGACATTAATGTTTTAAAGTTAATAATTTAAAATTAATTTATATTTATAAAATATGAATTTTATTGATTAAACATTAATTTAATACTCGTATTATATAATTTGTAAAATGTATGTTATGTATGTGAAGTATCAATCTATGAAAAAGTATGAAAGCTTTTGATTTTTATCTATTTGATGTACGCTATCAATTTAAATAAAAATAGAAAGAAAAAAATAACAAAACATAACAAAATTCATCTAACGGTTAAAATTATTTTTTTAACTTCTAATCTCAATCATTAATATGCATAAAAATGTTGCTTGAGAAATGTTGGAGACATATTCATAGGAGAGGATCCAAATTCAAGATCAACACCAAGCAACGTAAATGTTATTAGTACAAAATATGTAACTCTATGCAATGCTACTTTATTGATCTAATTTTTCTATGCTTGAGGGTCACCAAAGAAAAGTCTTGCATGGTAGGGGACACTAGCTAGCGTCCATCCTTTTCCAAACATAACTGATGAAACAAAGGAGAAGGGAGGACATTTTAGGTTGTATAACATACGATGTCTAATTAATATTTCACGTGTCTTTGTACCTTTTCTTAATGGTAGTTGGTATGATATTTGTTTCATTAACTCATTAACCTCTCTATGTCTTTTATTAACTTCCTCTGACTTGATTCCAGAAAAAGGTTTGCAGGGAAGCATTCAATTTATTTTCTTCACGGATAATCCTCTCAACACTCTACGAGCCACAGTGAACCACACTAGGCTATTTGACTTTAGGATAATGAACATAAGTCACTACCACTTGTGTGTTTGATTTCCTGCATGTTAGTGACAAAAATAATTGAAATTTTCTACCACATTTTGAGTACCCATAATTTGCTGGCTTTTGAAGGGAAGAATACTACTGTACCACACTTGCTATCTAGAGGCATGTCTATGCACTGTGTCATAGAACCAATAGCAAGTAGGGATTTAAAAAATGTGCAAGTTTGGAAACCACCAGGGCAGGTAGTGGTCAAAGCAAATTTTGATGCTTTAGTTCATTTTCGCATAGTCTTGGAGTTGTTTTTTGTGACTATAGGGGAGCAGTTTTTGCTTCTGCCATTTGCTTTCTTGATCAATGCTTCTAATCTAAAATTGCCAAGGCAATGGTTTTTAGATGGACAATTCAATTGGCCCAGAAACTATTTTAAGCCACACTTTTTGTTTTTTTGAAACTGATTACCAAGATCTATGCTTAGCTTGAAAGAACATGAGCATGCAACAATGTACACATTTTGAGGGTATGATTATTTTTCATTAAAAATAACACCTATTACTGTGCCAAAGAAATAAAAATCAAATAAAATGGATAACATTAATGTAGTGACTTCATATTTAAAAATGTTTAAAAAGCAAGCTTGTAAATAAAATAATAATAACTAATGGAAAGAGACACCGAATTTTTTCCCTCCCTAATAAATCATTTAATTGATTAATTAACCTTGGCCTCTTAAAAAAAAAAAAAAATTGGCGTCTCAGCTTCCACTATCTCTCTTTCTAAACCCTAAGCATTTTGCTGATTTCACTCTCGTTGTCTTGCATCACCATTCTTCAATCTGTTCATTGTGTTCCGATCACAGCTAAGGTCACCGGAGATGTCCCTATCAACCTCTCCGACGCATAATAATAGCTGTTATACTGTAGTGTTTTATTTTTATTTTTTGTTTTCAGTTCTGCCCACGACGTGTTTGTGTTTATGCTTTTATTCATTTTTCATCTTTTTTCAGTCCTTTTCAATTTGGGGTTGCAGAAAAAGTGCTGACGTTGTGAAATTCCCGAGTTTTAAGCAGAACGCTGCGTTGACTGAAGCACTTGTCACTTGATATGGCCCCAAAGAGGAAGCGCCCGGTAATGCCTTTTTTTTTTTTAAGAAGTGATTTTTTTTTTTTTTAATTTTCTCTTACTGTATGAATAGAGTACACTTCATTGAGGTTTTTCGTATTAATATGAAAGAATGTTTGCGTGGTTTTAGGTCGTTAGTTTGGTTTTATGTTTGAAAATTGAAGTCTTATGGTGCTGTGGATGTTTCAACTATATATGTACAGAACTATTTGATTGTACCCTTTTTATGATTTAATTCACAATCTTGGCATTTTAGAAGGCTGTTGAAAAGTGTCTATTACATGAAATCTCGTAGCAGGTCATATATCAATGAAATTAGATAGCCTTGGGAGATTACACGAGATAGTAACTTGTTGCATGAATTTGGTTCTAGAAAGGTATATGGCTTAATTTCTGTGTGCTATGAGCTCCTTGTGGTCCTTTGGGTGATTATTCATAACACAAGGGCCATTTTTTATATAAAAAGATTATAAACTGGATCGAGTCATTTGAATCTATCATATGCGTCAAGTTGCATTTTAAACCTCATTTTTGCATGCTGTCAAAGTTTGAGCTACATATTTTGCTTGTTAATTTTATGTTAATTGCAGATGGCTGACAAAAATCTGAATAAAGGAAAAGCTTCTCTGAGTCATCCAACTGTCCAACTTGCCAGGCATCTAGCACAAATGACTTCTCAAATTCCACCAAGTTCTTCATCACATGCAATATCTCGTCCTGCTGATCCACCTGCCTGGACATCTGATGTGATACCTCCACCTTCAATGGAAGGGGTACACTCACCATGTACTTCACAACCAACAAACCTAGATGCAGGACGTACCCTTGACAGGGCCCCAGAGAACAGAAGTGCTATTCGCAGAAAGTTTGGTAGGCAGCAGGTAATGCCTTTACTTCTTTATTCAATGGATCTCATTGATTTGGGGCTTCCCTCTTCTCAGTTATGACAGGCTTAAATTTGTATAATTTTTAATCACTGTAATTACTGCTGTTCCTGTTTTATATTTTTTATTGACTAGTTTGAATATCAGTTTTGTGTAATGCCTTGAATGTGTCTGTATATTATTCTGTATGCTATAGGAATGGTGGTTTAGAAAGCCCCACAAACTCTTGGTTAGCAAATCCCATCAGTTCTCTTTCAATGATAGCTCAAGTTCAATTAAAAATAATAATTTAAATATTGGCTGGATTAAGAGCCTGAAGCTCAGGATGTTAGGCAATATAAATTGGTGAAAGATTTGGGGCTTATGGTTGACTTTAAAGGGGATTTTGCATCTTTATCTTGTTGTATGAATGGACTAAATTTTATTAAGTTCTAAGACTAATCTTGCATGAATGATGAATCTGGTAATTGTTTGATGTTTGGATTGCTCTTTGATTCTATGGTCCTTACAGTTTCTACATGATGCTTTTGGGAGTATGTTACTCAAAAACTGTGTACTTAAATGTTCTCCTTTATCTTTGTATTACTTGTACAATGTAATGCTTATTGTTGAATTTTTTTAACTGTATAGTTTCTTCATTGATTTTGTAATGCTTGCAAGGAGCAAGCTCCCTTAAACTTCATGGATTGCATGCGTCTCTGTATAATTTCTGCTGGATTTTCTGCACGATATTATAACTAATATTTATAATTTATTACTGTGATTTCATTGTCTGATTTTAGTGCATGAATTAAAAGTGTGGGGTTTAAAACGTGTCTTGATTCTACATGTTGGGCTTCACTCATTTTCAACTCAAACCTGTGATCCCAATCCTAATACCTGATATAAGCTACATATTATGTTTCTTTGTTTCGAATAGTTTTGGCAATTCTCCTCTCCTTATTGGTATGTATTTGCTATTTCTATGGCCGATTCTTGGCTTTTAGTGGCTTTAAAGGCAGAATTGTGTTGTACATGGAAGATTATGTTGTTATGCTCTTTAAAATGAACTAATTAACTGCATAATCTGAATTTGTAGTATAGGACAACAGATCTATTTTTAGAGCTTTTATTTTTGTTTTATGGGACTAAACCAAACTAATCTCATCTATTTTAATTAATTTTGGTAAGATTGAGTAGAAATAAAAGGTGCTTTATATACTAATAGTTTTGATATGGGTGTTGTCATGACTTCCAACTAATGCTATCAAAATGAGACTTGTAGGGGATGATTTGTCTTAGCAGGATGCAGTAATATTTAAAGATTGCTATGACTTTAACAAAAAGGGTAACTAAAAAGTGTTTCAAAGATTTGAGTTAAATAGGATACAAAATGGTTTGAAAGCTTGGGTTCAGAGGAATAGTGATTCAGGTTTTCTAGCTTAGTATAGTAGTGATTTCTTTTTAATTATTTCTTATCGTAAGAATAGATTATACTTCATTGTGGTTTTGCATATTAATATGAAAGAATGTTGACAAGGTAGTCATATATATGATTTCAAGTTTTGAAAATTGATGTTTTATTTGCTGTATGTACGCATACGGCTTCTACTGTTTGCCTGTGACGCCATCTGTCATATGATATAGGGGATTTTCAGCCTTTTGCGATTTTCTACGATCCACTACTGACAACACCGGCTTGTAACTTGTGCAATTTATTTGGTAGCTGAAAGGTATATAGCTTAATTTACGTGTGCTATTTGCCTTAGTTATCATAATCTTAGGATTCACGATTCGAATCTTACCTCTTACTTTTTGATACAAATCGTGCCAATTTTTATCATAAGATGAATCTTAAATAACTTTGAATTTTATGATGCATGAATGAATCCATGCAATTCCATATCATCTACACAAATTGTATGATTAGTTAATTATTATTATTATTACCTTTTTACTTTTCTTTTACCAATTCTCATCATAATATAAGCTTAAATCGTTAATTGAAAAGAAATTGAAGAAACAACTTATTCTATTTAATTATTTCACTACTTTATTTGTCACTTGCTGATTCAATGCATGCACTCTAATTAACTTTTTAATTTCTTTGTTTCCATTCTCCTAAAATAAAGGCTTCACAAGCTTTGGCATAACTAACAATTTTGTTTTATAAGACTTTTAATTAAGTTCTTTTATCCATTTCTAGTTTATATTTTTTACGCTGAACACTATATATCATCTTTATGATATATTTGGAGCAATTTTTCATTGTCTCTAAATCTTGCGATTCAATACAAATTATGATTCATGCTTCAAAAATTAGCTCAGCAATTCACATTTTGAATCTTGATTTGATAACCTTGCTATGAGCTCCTTCTAGGTCCTTTTTGGGTGATTGATTATTCATGAATCATGACATAAGGGGCTATGTATTTTTTGAATGATTATAAACTGGTTTGAGTCCTTCGAATGGGTCATATGCATTAAGTTGCATTTAAGAACTCAGTTTTTCATTTTGTCAATGTTGGAGTAATACTTACTCATTTATTTAAAACACAGGCTAGACACATTAGATCTCTGCATTTTTTTTCTGTTACAACACTGAAACATACATCTTTCAACCCACAAAATTTTTGATTCTATCTCCTTACATTGCCCAAAGTAAATGTAAATTATGCACACTCCCAAGTTCTGGTAACATTCATTCCTTCAAGAACAAGTTGACTTATACTTGTTCATTTGATGCAATATCTGTCCTCATTAGGAAGTTTGAACATAAGGGTACATTGTGTAAAATTTCATGGTTTAAGTCCAATAGATGCAGCCCCAGCTTGTACTCCAAGATTGTGATGAAATCCTATTTCTTACTGCACCTGTCTCGTATGCATAAATGCATTTTGTTCTAATCATCCATAACTCACTTTATTTGTCCCTTTCTTTTGAACTTTTTTTGGTAATGGTTATTTTTATTCAAATGGCAAACAAGCAATTTATCATGAACTCTCACCTTCATAATCATGTTCTCAACTTATTCTGCATTGTTAATTTTGTATGTGCTAATTGCAGACGGCAGACAAAGATCAAATTAAAGGAAAAGCTTCTGAGAGTCATCCATCAATGCAACATAGTAGACGTTCAGCACAAATGACTTCCCAAATTCCACAATGTGCTTCATCACATGCAATATCTCGTCCTACTGATCCAGCAGCTAGGATATCTGATGTGATACCACCACCTTCAGTGGATGGGATACACTCACCATGTATTTCACAACGGACAAATCCATATGCAGGACATACTTTTGACATGGCCCCAAAGAAGCGGAGTGGTGTTCGCCGAAAGGTTGGTAAGTGGCAGGTAATGCCTTCTATACATCATTCAAAGGATATCAATGATTTGGGGCCATCACCTTCACAGTTGTGATGTGCTTTATATTTTTTTAATCACTATTATTACTATTATTCCTCCTATTTTTTAGTTGACCTTTTTGAATCTCTGTTTTTTGTAATTCCTTGAATGTGTCTCTATATTATCACATGCTATAGGAATGGTGGATCAGAAAGCCTCCAAACTCTTAATTATAAATATAAAAAAACCAGTTTTCGTTTGGACTTCGCTCAATTTGAATTGAAAAAAAGGAACTTAAATCTTGTCTGGATTAATAGCTTGACACTTGGGATGTAAGTGTATTATGAATTGGTTCGAAAGACTTTGATTTATGTCAGACTTTAAAGGGGATTTTACTTCTTTATCTACTTGTATGAATGGACTAAAATTTGTTAACCTTTGTGTGTAATTGTGCTTGAATATGGTGACTTTTTTATTGAGTTTCTAGGTGATTCTATTGTGCATACAGTTTTTAAATGATGCTTATGGCAGTCTGTGACTCAAAAACAGTGTTTTTCAATGTTCTCCTTCATCTTTGTATTACTTGTACCATGTAATGCTTATTGGCAAACTTTTGATAACTGTATAGTTGGACTGTGAATACTTTCAAGAACAAGCACCCTTAGAAGTTGATAGATTGCATGCATCTTTGCATTAATTCTATTTTATTTTCTTCATTTGTTATTATAAGTGATCATTAAAATATATTCCTGTGATTTCATCATATGTTTTCAGTGTTAAAAGTGTGGGATTCAAAACATGTTTTGATTGTAGATGTTTGGCTTCACTCATTTTACAACTCAAACCTGTGATCCTAATACATGATATAAGCTCCATATTATGATTTTTTTTTATTTTTTATTTTTAGCTATTTTTCCCCCTTATACGTATGTATCTTCTACTGCTATGAACAATTCTTTGTTGTTAGTATAAGTTTTAAGGGCATAATTGTAGTGTATGAGTGAACTGAACATAGAAAGATTATTTTGTGAAATGTTTGGCTCTTAAAATTAAGTAATGAACTGCATGGTCCTCAATTTGTTATATAGGATTATAAATCTATTTTTAGAGCCTTCATTCTTGTTTTCTGGAGCTAAACCAAACAAATATCTTATTAATATTTTTTAATGTAGGAAAGAAAAAGGTTGCTTTGCATACTAATACTTTTAAGATGAGGTTGCTGTCATGATTTCCAATTCATTCTATCAAAGTAATATTTGCATGGGATGATTTGTCATACTCTAATTGAGTAGATTAAGTGTTGTATTCTGCATTATTCCCTCCCATACATTAGTTATAGAATAGAAATTTGAGTGTGTATGTCAGAAGTTGGGAAGTGTTACTTGAAAATGAATTTGATGATAACTTGAGAACTGACACTTGCTACGCATTTTTTATGTTGATAAATCGAGGCTATATGGTGTGAAAGTGATAATGTATGAAGAACTATAAAATGTAATATTGCATTGGTGGTTTTCTATTTGCTATTTGAATATCAGATTTTGCTTCTTAAAAGATGTGGGTTTCAATTTACTAATTTAGAAAATGAAATAAATTTGGTTAAACCAAAATTTTCGCAATATTTAGCATGCAAAATGCTATCACTTTAATAAAACAGGTAATGAAGAAATATGTTTAAAGATTGGAGTTAAATAGAATACAAAATGATTCAACTTCAAAAGCTTGGGTTTGGAGTAAATGTGATTCTGGTTTTCTAGCTGAATATATAAGTGATTTCTTTTGAATTATTTCATACTGTAAGAATAAATTATATTTGTACCTCATTGAGCTTCTGCCTTTGAATATGAAAAAATGTTGGTGAGGTTTTAAATCATAAGTTTGGTTGCATGTTTGAAAATTGAAGTTTTTATGGCGCTAAAGCTGTTACATTTATATTTATGCAGAACTATTGAATTGTACCCACCTTATTATCTGATTCAAAATCTTGGCTTTTTAGTTTCTAGAAGGCTAGCAAAAAGTTTTTATTACATGAAATCTTGTAGCAGAACACATATCAATGAAATTAGATAGCTTGGTAATGATAGCTTTGGGAGATTACATGAGATAGTAACTTATGTCATTAGTTTGGTTGTTGAAAACGTATATTGACTTAATTTCGTGTGCTATGTGCTCGTTTTAGGTCCTTTGGTTTTGTTTTTTTTGGAGTGATTATAAACTGGTTTGAGTCATTTGGATGGGTCATATGCATCAAGTTGCATTTTAAATCTCATTTTTTGCATGCTGTCAAAGTTTGAGCAATCCTTATTTATTTAAAACTTGAGCTAGACTGCCGGACACATTAGATTTGAGTGCCTATTTTTTGTTATAGCCCTGGGACGCACATCTTTTAACCCACAAACTTCCAGATTTTATCTCCTTGTCTTGCCCAAAGTAAATGTAAATTCTGCATGCTAACATTCATTCATTCAAGCACAAATTGCCACGAATAACTCATTTTCTTTATTTATCCCTTTCTTTTCATTTTTCTTTTCTTAATATTGATTTCAAATGGCAAACAAGCAATTTACAATGAACTCTCACATTTATAATCATGTTCTCTACATTGTCTGCTTTGTTAATTTTGTGTTAATTGCAGATGGCAGACAAAGATCATAATAAAGGGAAAGCTTTTAAGAGTTATCCAACAAAACAACGTACTACACATCTAGCGCAGAAGGCTTCTCAAAATCCACCATGTGCTTCACAACCAACAAATTCAATGGAAGGGGCTCACTCTCCTGCAAGGACATCTAATGAGACACCTCCACCATCAGTGGAAGGTGCACACTCACCACGTACTTCACAACCAATAAATTCAGATGGAGGACGTACACGTAGATCATTTACTGCATTAGAGACACAAATCAATGATGGCAAGCCAATTTTATACCTTGATGGACAAGGGTATGTTGTTTCATTTTGTTAGTATTGACTTTGGTTTTTTAAACTCATGACAATTACATGTACTGTCTGCAGATTCTTACCTTCACGTCCTGCTGCAAATGGGATTGGGGATATCGTCAAGAGTTATTTTACTGATCCCTGGCCATCATGGAAGAAGATACCAAGTGGCACAAGAGACTTGTGGTTCGAAGAGTTTATGGTTAAGTTTCATTTGTTAATTGTTATATTTAATTTGGAAATGTATATTTAGTCTGCTTATAGCTAACTTGTTTGCATCTGGATATAGGGAAAGTATTCTGTTTTCCCACCAGATTACCATTGGGCAAAAAAGAATTTTGAAATGCGAGGGACAATATTTTTGAAAAATAATCTAAATAAGGCTCGAACAACAATGAATAAACCAGATTGGATTAAAGATGGTGTCTGGGAGAGATTGTGTGAGCATTGGAGTTCTGAAGGATTCAAAAAGAAGAGCATCCAAGCAAAAACGAATAGGGCATCTAACTGTGGAGCATCTCACACTGGTGGCTCAATTACCACATCTCAGCATAGAGCTAATATGGTTAAGTTGTCACTTAATATCATTTATTGAATTGTTTAGTGATAATCTCATACTTAAAAACTAACAAGTTCATAACTTGTATTCGTTGTTCTATTATAGATGAAAGAGACTGGCACCCTCCCTACTCCATTGGAGTTGTTTCGTCGCATGCACCAACATAAGGACAATACATGGGTGGATAGGAGATCACAACATTTAAATGTAATGAGCTCACCCTCATAATCATGTAATCGTTTTTGGTGGTGTTTTATTCTCTTTTGATTTGTCATGAAACACTTATTATACTCGTATTGGTGATGATAGGAGGTATTTACGCGCACATTGAAACAATTGACAAAAAGAGCACTTGCACAAGGAAAACCTCCACCAAGTGAGTCAGATGTATGGTGCGATGTAGCTAGATCAAAGAAAGGGAAAATATATGGGCTTGGAATGCAACCTAAAATAATGGCATTATCTCCTTGCTATCATGGCTCATCTTCTTCATCTACGGAGTGGGTAAAAAAACAAGAGTTTGATGAATTGAGAAAAGAGATGGAAGAAGTTAGAAATGAAAGAGATAAGCTTGAAGCCAGATTTGCAAACACTGAGAGGCTTCTTGAGCATAACAATGCTTTGATACGAGAATTGATGGAAAGCAATGAACACGCCCGCTACTATAGAGGAAAGTCAAGATGAAGGTGACGAGGAGTCACTAAGTGAACCATAGTGATACCAGAATTGATACTAGTTCATCTTTAATGTAATTATGTCCCATATGGCAAATGTTTTGTACTTTGGATATTCAAATCTTCTACTTTATCGTGTTAGTATCTTTTGTCAGATATGTCTATTGACTAGGCGTCTGCAAAAAATCTAAATTGATCTGAACCGATCCATAATTAATCCGATCCATATTGAAAAATCCGATCCATTTTGGAAAAAAATCCAAACCGAACCACTATATAAAATCGGTTCAGTTATCCAATCCATTTTTATAAAGTGGATCGGTTCGGTTCGGTTTGTTTTTTAAAAAAACCGATCCATATATGAATAAAAAGTGGATAACTGCACTGCACTGAACCGATCCAATTTCAAAAAAATCAAACCGATCCACTTTATAAAAAATGGATCGGTTAACCGATCTACTTTTATAAAACGGTTCAGTTCAGTTTGGATTGATTTTTTCAAAAAAACTGATCCATGAACACCCCTACCTACTATTGACTATTAGGTTCATATGCTTTAATGTATTTAGAAATATTTTATATTGATGTTTATCAGATTCAGAAATAGAAATCGGATAAATTTTAAATTGATTTTTCTTCCATATCACAAAAGAAAAACTGATTTAGCAATAGATTCATTTAAACAACCAATAAAATTGATTGCTAAATCAAGAAATAAAATAGCCTACTAAATTTGCCATAGAAATCAATATTTAGCATTAATTGCTAAAATAGTCAACAAATAACTTATTAAATTAATTTGAAAAAAAAATCTTTTAAATCGATCCTGTATCTTGATTGCTACATTCATATTATTAGCCATCAATTGTGTGGCATTTCAAATAAATGATTGCTAATTAAGTCACTGATGTGCTATGAAGCATCGGTACTTTTAAATCATGTACACGTACTACGTACATTCTTGATACTTGTTAGGTACACATGAACACGTATTCATAATTTTTTTTTTTAAATGAAGATTTTGGATACTTAGGACATCTTTTGTAAGGGTTTTTAACTAGATTTTTAATGAGAAATGATTATTAAATAATTTTTTTAGGCAGATTGACATGAATGATACATTCAAGAATTCTTATCATATAAGAACTCAAGAGATTATTATCAAGAAAAATATTATTTTTTTCATATTCTTACTTAAATTAAAATGAAAATATGGAATCCATAAAGTGAATTAAGAACTCTAATCACATTCTTCTATTGGAGTAAAAATAAAAATTAAAAAAAAAAAGTTTACATCCTATTAAGAATTCAAAATAAGTTTTATTATTGTAGATGCACTTAGACTATCTCTAATAAAAAAATTTAACTGTGTTCTTGATTATAAGAATTAGTTATTATAAATTTTACTATTAGAGCAATCTGCCGTATCATTTTCAGTATAAGAATCGTTTTTATATAAAAATTCGTAACTTCTAAAAATCAAATTCTTACAACAAAAAATGAAGAAAGTGAGTTTATTGTAGAACGCATGAAAGTTAATTAAGAACTTTAGTTAGACTTAGAGTAAAATATAGAAAAATTTTAAATTGCACATGATATTATTAGCCGATTTTGTAGGGTTGAGTTAGACTTAATCCACTATTCTAACATGGTATCAGAGCCATTTAGATCCACTTTAAAAATGGGTCACCCACCATTGATGCATGCCTCATAGGCATGAGGGGGTGTATTGGGAAAAACTCAAGTCCCGCCAATCCTAGATCATTAAAAAGGGCCACCCACCATTTATCCACGTACCAAGCCCAATAGTGCTGGACGTGAGGGGGTGTATTGGGAAAAACTCAAGTCCCACATCGACTAGAGATTAGGCAATTGAATAGTATATAAGTGAAAAGCAACTATCACCTTACAAGGCGGTTTTATAAGGTTGAGTTAGGCTTAATCCACTATTCTAACAATAAAAAGTACATTAAAAACTCAATGAATTTTATTATTGGAGATCGTCTTAGTCTAGATACATTTGAATACTTTAGGAACACATTTACTAATAGCCGAAGATTTAATTAAAGTTGAAAAAGAAAAAGGTGAGAAAATGAGATATAAGGGAATATTCATCTTATATTTGTTTCAAGTTTTCTTTACTAATAGCCGAAGATTTAATTATGCTAAGTGGAAATTCATAAATACCCTCACTAGGTATCTATCACATTAGTAATTTGCTTCTCACAATTCCTCTCCTACTCCTCTCTCGTAGTGATTATTTTTTTTAATGTGGATTATGCCACCTTGCATCATGCATGTATTTTAATAATTATCAAACTGTTTTTATTTTTATGCATTTTAATATTACATTAAACTAACATTATATTATATAATAACTTAAAAACATGTTTCATTGCCAGCATTTTGGTTGGCTTCTTAAAATAAAGGGGTAAAATTCAAGCATTAATTAATGAAAAAATTATATGAATATTTTTAAATGGAAAGATTCATTTATTTTAAGAGTAAATTTTGTTATAGTTACTTTATCTAATAATTCATGCTCTCCATTAAATTTTATCAATTTAACTATCAAATAGAAAATTTTTAATGAACAAATCAAATCTATTAATATTTAAAAAAATTTAAAACTATATGATACTCCATTATATATTGTTCTTATCGGAAATCTGCTGTAGAGTTGATGCTCCAGGTAAGATCGGTGAGCCTCCTTCACTGGTACGCTGGTGCTCCAAGATGGGGGTGGTACCTGCAAAAGAGACTCTGATGCTAAAGTTAGTGTTTGTGGGAGTATGAATCTCGTATAAGTAATGCACGTACCTTAGTGTGAATTAGGGTTGCTTTGGGCCTTGGGCCTGAGATAAGATATGATAAGATTAGATAGTGGATCTCGTCTGAAGCGAGATCCCTTGAGATCAGTTATGATCTGCTTAAATGCCGAGCTGACGTCGCATAGCGCGTGCCTGACCTCATCTTGTGTTGTGATGCCGAGCTCGGAGCTCGGCTTCGCGGTACGGACAATACACTAGCCCCCCAAGCTCCAAAGACCGTAGGTCGAGGAGTTAAGACCGAGCTCGCTGGGGGGAAGTGACCTATCGCGTACTTCTGCCTGTTGAGATGCCATGTGTCGTAACTGTTCATTTTCCGAAAACGTGCAAGTGGCGCGTTAAGGGAAATGACGGTTGTGCAATGATGGTCTTGCAATTAATGTGTTGTCAGCATGCCCTTAGGTTGACACGTGGCATGGCCGTTTTGAAATTTGGGGAAAAAGCCCTTTTCTCTTTCTCTCCCGCGTCTCTCCCCATTCACTCTGCTTCCTTCCACTCTTTGGCTTCTTGGGTACGATAATCCTCTTTGCCTTCTCGTTCCTTGCCTTCTCGTTTCCGCTCACTTTCCGTCTCCATTTCCGGTAACCCCGTCACTACTAGGGTTATTTTCTGAGGAGGAGTACCAGGTACTTCCTTTCTACAGTTCTCTCTTTTCTTTTCCCCATATCTTCTCTTTCTTTAATGGCTGGTGGGAGTGGTGCCGGCTCTTCTGCGCCTGCTAGGGTCAAGGCGCGCGGTAAGGCGGTGGCTACCGGGAGAGCCGCTGCTGAGAAGAGGGATCCGCCTCCGCCCTGGGAGTCGGAGCCAGACATCTCTGGCTACGACTGGGTCAAGCGTGAGATGGCGGGGGTCCAGAGCGTTTTTCGGTCCTTTCTTGAGGTTAACGGGATCCCGTGGTCGTGCAGGGTTTGTGACCCTTCTATTTCCCGGATGATCCGGCTTGAACCTTGTCAGGCCGGTGAGGGTGTGTACATGGGGAAGTCTACCGACCCTCCCCATTTCTATATGTATCATTGTTTTTTTAGAGATTTAGGTGTCTGTCTTCCCTTCACTCAGTTTGAGTGTGATTTTTTGAACTTTGTCAACTCGGCTCCTTGCCAGTTGCACCCCAATAGTTGGGGTTTTTTGAGGGCTTTTCAAGTCCTGTGTACAGTTTTGGGGATAGAGGTGTCTCTTCCCGTCTTCCTTCATTTTTATCAGTTGAAGGTAGGCGTTCCGCCATACGGCATATTATCTCTGAGTGGGAGTAGGGATGGGGGTTTGTTTACTCTCTACTCCCAGTCGTACAAAAATTTCAAACAAGAGTTTTTCCGAGTCGCTCTTGTGAACGTTGACCCCTTGGAAGATGGGGCGTTTTATTTCGGGGGGCTGCCAAGATTTCCCTTCTATTGGTGCCCCCGACCTTCTAGGTTTCACGGGGTGGGCCAATTGAAGCTGACTTCTTCGGAGGCGGTTGCCATCGAGAACCTCGCCGCGCTTCCTCGTCCGCTGGATTGCAAGCTCGTCTGTCGCTTGCGAACTCGGCGTTCAGGGAGAGGGGTTTGGAGAGTGAGTATTTGGTTTTTTGGTGGTTTGGGGTTTATGTAAATTCCACTTGCTGATGTGTTTTATCTCGTGAATGCAGGCATCATGGGGAAAAACTTGTGGCGTGAGCTGAAGCATCGCTACAATGTTACCGAGCTCGAGGTCCCCGAGTCTCGAGAGGAAGATGCCTCCCCTCTGAAGGTTAATCAGAAGAGAAAGAGGGGAGCAAAGGAGGTCGGGGGAACCTCTGCCCCTCTAGACGCCGAGGAGGTGACCTCCAAGGCTGCTGATGTTGGCGCGATGGACCTTACCGAGAGTCCACCGCCCAAGGGGGCTCCTCAGGTGGCCTTTGAGGAGGTGGCTCAGGCTACCGAGGTGGCGGTTCCGGCCGCTGAGCAGGCTGCTCAGACTGCTAAGGTAAGTAGTGTTCCCTGACTTTCGTGGTTTCCCGTATGCTGTCCTTTTCCTTTTTTGACATGGTGCTGGTTTTTACAGGCGAGGTCGGAGATTCCTGTCGCCGACCCTCCAGTTGCCGAGCAGGGGACGCCGGCTTCTGCCTTTGCCGAGGTTCGTGGCAAGGGGCCGAGTTCTAAGGTCCCTACGCCCACACCTGCAGCTCCGGAGCCGTCGTCTGGTTCATCGCAGGAGGCTTCCTAGGGCCGGTATATAGCTCACCGCTTCAGGAAAGGCCTCTCCAAGGTGCGATTGGACCACGTGAGCGCCTCGGCCAACATGGACTCATTGTGGAGCGCGGGGGTGACCGCTAAGAAATTCTTCCCTCAAGGCTCGCTGAGCTCCGAAGACCATGGGCTGATAGATGAGGCCGACCCCGAGGATGGTTTTGACGCTGCCCAGGTCCTTCTGC